CCACGTTCACTTTCCACTCGGCCGAGAAGGCAGTGCGCAGGTGAGGTTCGCCGCGTCTCCGCCCGAGCTGGTCGGCGTCCCCTTGTGACAGTCGTCGAGCCGCCCAGCATCTTCCGCTTGCCAGCGGCAGTGGATTCGATGTACTTGATTTCAATGATTTTTCCGCTGCCTCGTGGGGATGCCTTCTGCTTGAGACGTCGGCGTCGTTTTGCGAAGCGGCCTGGTGTCCAGGTGGCCTTCCTGGAGTCTCGTGTTTTTTTCTGTTCGATGTGACCGAGGAGAAGTTCATGTGTCCAGCTTTTTCTGGTGATGAACTCGATCTCGCGCAACTGCAAGCCTCGCAGCGCGAGTGCTCCGGTGTGGGCTCGCGCTTGCAGCAGCAGTTGCGCGGTGTCGGGTGCGTCCTGCCTGCATGCCAAGACGAGGGGCGGCGCGGTGAAGGGGCTTCGAAAGTTCGGGTTTGCTCGTGTGCTCAGCAGACGGGCGACTGCCGCATATTCTCCTTGGGCTGCTGCTACGCAGAGGGCGCTGCCTCCTTGGCTTTCGGGGCTCTCGATGTCTGGATCCGCTCTGCGCAGCAGCAGAAACTCCATGGCTTCGAGGTTTCCTTCGCTCGCTGCGTGCCACAACGCCGTGCCGTCGGAGCACTCGTGGAGGCCATTGATGTCGGCGTTTGCGCAGAGCAGGGCTGCCAGGTTGTCTTGTTGGTTTGCTCTTGCGGCGGCACTCAAGGCGGTCAATTTGGCGTCGGGGCCCGTCTCCTCGTGTCGGAAGACTGGCTTCAAGTCGGCGCGCGCTCGAAGCAGCGTCGTCGCCACAAACAAGCTCTCCGCAACGCAGGCTGCGACCAGGGGCGTCCTGGCTTCATTATCGGGCATCTCGAGGTCGGCGTGGGCTGCGAGGAGTATTTCCGCTGCGGTGAAGCGATCTTCCCAAGCTGTCGCGAGCAGGGCTGTTTCTCCGCGACGGTTTCTTTGATCTGTAAGGGCACGTGCCTGAAGGAGTTGTCGGACGGCGCGCCAGTGGCCCGCTCCTGCCGCCCACCAAAGTGCCGTGTTGTTGCCTGGCGCATCTACGTCCGCGGCCGCTTCCAGCAAGAGCTCGACGATGGCTTCGTGGTGTTCTTCCGCCGCTGCCGCTGCTTGGAGGGCGGTGAAGACTCGATCTCCACGTTTGCTTCTGCCGAGTGCCAGCTCGAGCGGTGCATTGACGTCTAGGGGCCGATTCAGGAGGTACTCCACCTCCGCTGGCTCGCCGTTCTCGCAGGCTCGAATGAGCTGGTCTGTGCTGTCGTCCGCGAGGGGCTCGTGGCCGAGGAGTGCGAGCTGGAGGTCCGCGGGTAGCGTGATCTCGTCGTCGTCTCGCAAGACTTCGGCTCCGTTGCACAGTCTCTGTCGGAACCGTGGCACTCCGTGGGTTTGCTGCAGCAGCTTCTTTACTTCGAGGGCGGTCGTGCGTTTGTCCTTGGAGGCCACAGTGGGCAGCTGCTCCCCCGCTAGGGTGTAGATGCACAGGCTCCCTGTTGTCGTGTTCGTCCTGCTTGTCCTGTCGGCCATGGCTGGCTGGGCGGCGGCGCGATGACCGGACCGGGGCTTCTTCTGTCGCTTCGCGAGCCAGAATGCAACAGAACTGCTTCAATGAGACGCCCGATGGAGTGCGAAGAAGTTGACACAATTCTCAGAACGAGAAAGTGCTTGCGAGTGATGGTCAGCTTTGCAGCCCTTCGGTTCGGTGAGAATCGGTGAGAAGGCTCGGAGTTTTTTGTTCCGCATGGGCGCCAGGCGGCGAGCGTTTGTTTCTGTATTTGTTGCTCGGCGCGCCACGTGCGAAGTGCTCTTGCGGCACGTGCTGGCGTCGGATCAGAACTGGGGCCATTCCGTCAGGGTCCGGTCGGCGATCTGCAGCCAGTTCAGCAGGATCTCCTCCAAGCGGGCCGTGTGCTCCATTAAGCACCGTTTGACTTTGCTGAGATGGTGCACCAGGGCTTGCAGCCCAGCCGAGTGGAAGCAGCGAGCGCCCGCTTTACAAGTACCGCTCAGCTGAAGAAGCGACCAGGCATCTTCCAGACTCGGTGCGTTCAGTTCAAGCTCAATTCCCTCGCGGAACGGATGCCAATGCGACAGATGATCGAGCAGCAAGCCGCCAAACAACACCGTCTCCTTGACATGGGCTCGTCTTTCCGTGCGTCGTTTTGACTTTTGCAGTGCTTTCTCTTCCTGACTGGGCCAAGAACCAACTTTGCGGATGAGATACCTTTCCATGATTCGGCGACGTTCACAGCTGAACAGGCCCGCCTGTTTGCGCATGAGCCGCAAAAAGCTGCCATCACGGAGGACGTGCGAGGGCTCATCGCATCGCACAGACATGAATGTGACATGTCTGGACAAACTCTGCATCTTATCTTACTTTTGCTGCATTGGCGGTTAGCTGAACTCTCCTGGACCTTTTGGTCTTACTCGGCAGGCTCTTTCCTTTGCCATCGGCGGATTCATCGGGGGATGCGGACTGTCCAGTGGTGGCTGCTTGTCTGGCAGGCCAAAGAAAGGTTCCCGTATGTACGAGCATCCCGTGATGTTTCTAACTGGAACGTGATGCGCAGTTCGGCCGCCGGCGCGAACCGACTCTCCCGGAAGATGTAGTGGAGGCTGGAAGAGAACCTGGCGTGCATGTTGCACAAGAACCTGCTTATGGTGGTTGCCGTAGGTCCGTGCTCGTGGTCGTGTTGGCTCATGGACAGGATGCTTGCCGTTGGTGAGATCGGGAGGCCTCGGTACTGGTTCGCGATCAGCCAAAGGCGAAAGTTCGGACAATAAGCCGTCGCGTGGTTGGAGGCGTGCTGCGGCCGCTGGCGGGGCGGATGCGAGAGCACTCGAATCCTGACCGGCCTGGTGAATCCGGGGCATCTCAGTGTCGTCGAAGATAGCGGGGCGAAGATGTTGTGCAGAATCTCAACGCGGATCTTGCCTTCTCTGGCCCAATCTGCATCCGAGAGGTGGAAACCAACAGAGAGGTTCAACATGCGCAGAAGATCGCTTGCTGTCAGCATGTCCCGAATTATGACGCCGTCGCCGCTTTCCAGGCATTGCAGCAGCCGACACGTCAGACGGCCGTTCGGGCAAACTGCTACGGCTGTTCGCTTGAGCAACAAAGTCTGCAATTCGGGATGTCCGGGATCCTGCTCCTTGCGTCTCTGATGCACGTCCAGATCGACATTTTTTCCCGGCCTTGCTGTCGAGTGCTTCCTTTTCTTCCATTGACATGCGTCCTTAAGCGTGCTGTTCGTTTTCGTAATGTCTGTACAAAAGTCTCCTGCGCTTTGTTTCGGCACTTGCCCGTCGGCGCTGCCAGGTCGCTCAAGGTTCGAACGATAGTGAGCTTGCTTGGGGAGTTTGCTGCAAGCATCACTTCTAGCCACTTCCAGGGCCGTTCGTCCCAGGCCATCCCTGCACGTGAGGTCCGCTGCTGCCGCTGACAGACGTGTGAAGACTGAGCTGCCAGCGTGTCGAAGCGCAGCTTGCAAGATTGGGGTTGTCCCATCCACCTTCATGTTCACGTCCGCGCCTCCTCGAAGAAGTTGTTCTGCCACCTGGACGTGGCCGTTCTCCGCTGCGAAAATGAGGGCCGATCGTAGACAGTCTGTGCTCGCGACGAGGTGATGTTCTCCGACGAAGACTCTGCGATCTACGCGCGAGTTGGCATCGGCTTTCATTCTGAGCAGCAGCTGCGTCGCAGCTACGTTGCCATGTCTGGCCGCATTGCACAATCCCACAGCTAGCATGTGCTGGGTGTTGTACATCGTGTTCGGCACGAGTTCCGTCAGAATCGGACTCAAAGTTTCTTGCGTTGTCGCTGCACGCAGAAGGGACACCTGTCGTCTCAGGAGCTGACGCATGTAAAGTGCAATGGTGTTGCTGTCCATGCAGACACCGTTAGAGATGTCGCAGCGAGCAACCGGCCTGAAGTCTGCGTGAGCCTCCAACAAATGCTCGACGATTTCAATGCTTCTTTCGTCGCACGCTTGCAACAGTGGAGATGTTGTTTTGCCGTGCTTGTTCGGGTCGCTGCGATGCCGCAAAAGCAAGTCTACGCATTCCACATTGTTGTTCTTCACTGCCAGGTAAAGGAGGTTCGCATTTGCATTCTCGTTCGGATTGGCCTTGGCGTTTAGCAACATGCCGAGTTGAGCGGCAGTTGCACCGGAGCTTGTTCGTTCCGGTCTGAGGCTCATCAAGAAATTCAACGGGCTCGTCCTTGCGGCGGTGGACGGGTGCAGCAGAGCGTTCGGATCGACGGGTCGACGCAGCAGGCGTTGTAGCTCTTCCACGTCTCCGTTGGTCAATGCTTCCTTCAAGGCACTCGATTGCTCGTCGTCCGGAGCTTCGTAGTTCAGCAGCACGAGTTGTAAATCCGCGGACGACCGAAATCGATAGTTGAGATCGTCCAGCATCCGCTCCTCGTGCAGCACCCTCATTCGAAACGGGGACTGCTCGGTGATGGTGGCCAAATGATCGAGCAGCGAGTCCTTTGTGGGATGGCTCAACGTGTCCGTCTGCGTCACGACGTCTCCACTAATGTCCCGGACTCGAAGGGCACGAGACTCCGCAGTTTTTCGGCGCAGACGGCGCGGCACCAACTCTCGCTGCATGACCACTTTCGACGATGTCATGTCCGAGTCTGACGGGTGTCTGCGACCGCCTTGTTTCTCTTTACGTGTATGAGTCCCACCTAAATCTCTGGAATTTTTCCTTTGGATTAACTGCTGCTGGCTTCTTAAGTGTCGAGGAAGCGTCCCAAGTGCTGTGCGGCTGTCTTGAGCAAGCAAGAACATGATCCTCAGCTCGTACTTATTTTGCAGGTCGGACGGCTTAGTCCCTTCCCGGAGCGATGTGCGGCGCTCGAGCTCTTTTGTTGTGGCGTGCCGTGCGCTGTTTTTGAAATCGCGCCGACACGTAGGCCGAACCGGTTTTTGGTCTGCGCATGCTGTTTGATTCGAAGCACATTCAGATGTCGGAGAGGACCGGCTCCGTGTCGGAATCGTCTGCAGCTAAGGTCTCGCTTTGCTGCGACTCGGCCTCCGAAGTGTCAAAAACCACCGGAGGTTGCTCGTGGGACACGATGTTTTGCTGCTGCGTGAGGCCCAAGTGCCAGCGGAGCATCGATTGCACGCTGCCCAAAGAAATGCGATTTTGCGTCAATTCTCGGAGCTCCAAAATCATTTTACCGGATAAGGCGTATCGTACTGAGAGCTTCTTGTGCGGGCTGTCGAGGGTCATGTCGAAGCACACATGCACGTCCGGCCGTATCTTGCGAATGGCCACATGGAAGAATTGGCTTTCAGAATAGTAAATCCATACCTGTTCGCCATCCACCGTCCAAGTTCTGAGGTGGCGGCAGAGGTGCGAGGCAAAAGGACAGTGCAGGTAAATCGGTTCTTCGCGCTGCATTCTCGTTGATTGCAGTGCATCCGTGCACAGCAAGGACCACCTGCAGGGAGGGGGCTGATCCCAGCGCACTGCGTCTCGGATGTTCCCTTCGATGCGGCAGCACTCCATGTTGGTGCTATTATGACGTTTGGCTGTCAGAAAGATTTTTTGCGAAGCTATTTGAGCTTGAGCCTGGCACACTGCAAGGGACCGGTCTATACAGCCGTCGAGTCGGACCTGGTACATGATTATGTCGAGGTGCCATGAACTCTTCACTTTGACAGTCATGAGGTTTCGTCACGTCACGGCAGAGCCGTTGGACATCGGTTCTTTCCTCGTTCTGCACCTTGTTCAATTGCGTTGCGACTCCTGCTCTGCTGCCCGCGCTTTCTACCCACGTTCTCAAGCGTCCGAGAGGTGTGGCTCCGTCTCCAGAACGTCTGCGGCCGCGGAGGTCGCGCTCGGCTGCGACTCGGCGTCCGAAGTGTCGAAGACCACCGGAGGCTGCTCGTGGGACACGATGTTTTGCTGCTCCGTGAGGCCCAGCTGCCGGCGAAGCATTGTCTCCACGCTGCCCAGAGAGATCCGATTTTGCCTGGGCTCTCTGAGCTCCAAGATGAAGTCGCCGGACATGGCGTATCGTACGGAGAGTTTCTTGGGAGGGTCGCCGTGGGTCATGTCGAAGCACACGTGCACGTCCGGCCGTATCTTGCGAATGGCCACGTGGAAAACTTGATGTTCAGAATCGTAGATCCACACGTGCTCGCCATTCACCGTCCAAGTCTTGAGGTGGCGGCAGAGGTGTGGGCCGACTTCAGAATATAGGTAAATGGGCTCTTCGCGTTGGATTTTCGACGATTGCAGCGCATCCGTGTGCAGCCAGGACCACCGACAGGGAGGTGGCTGATCCCAGCTCTCTGCATCGTGAACGTCCTTCGCTTCGATGCGGCAGCACTCCATGTTGGTGCCGAAGGCGACGGCTCGGCTATTGGAAGCGGGGCGGATGCTCCTACGCAGCTTTCTGCTTGAGCCTCGCAAAATGCGATGAACGCGGGGGCGTCTCCGGCTGTGCTCGTTAAGCCTGGCTGCTTGTGTATGCACCGCGCTCAGCAATTCCGCACGTCGTTCGTCTTTGGCTCGTTGGCACGATGCTGGTCGGTTTCGGAGGAGCTTACATCTTCCTTCTGGCAGGTCTAGGTGCGGGGAGACTGTGCAGGCAGGCGTTGCTGTTGCTGTAGCCGGCTCACTGTGTCCCTCAGCGCTTGTACGCAGGCAGCGAGATGACGAACTTGGTCTTGCAGTTCGTCCATTTCTGGCCATGTGGGCGACCCGCCGTGGAGAAGAGGACTTCTGGATCGACTTCGTCGACGATCGGGGCTTGCACTGGTCTCGATGTGATCCTGAAGCCTGTACGCTCGGCTCATGGGTCCGGTCGAGATCGCTGGAGGATTCTTTGGGCACTGAGTCGGCTTGAGCATGCGGCGCTGCAGTGGATCGCAATTGTGCGGAGCACTCCTGGCATGCTTGCATGCATCTGACCTAGCTTGTGGCCGTTGTCGTTTGTGTGCTGTTCTTCGACTGTGACATCGAGCTTTGGGAGCGAGCCAGCGAGACTTATTGCTCTGTGCGACGCGGCGGTTCATTTCTTGGCCTCTTTGCTTGAAGCAAAGTGCTCGTTTTCTTTCTTTGGAGTCGACATCGCAAGGCTGAGGTTAGAAGAAGACCACTCAAAGCATGGATGCAGTGACCTCCCACATGTGCCTGTTCCAAGCGCTCAGCTTCGTGCAGATTGAGTCGCTGCATCAGTGACGTCGTGTCTTCCGAAGTTCCACCCAGAGCATCGGTTGACGACCGCCGAGACGCCGGTCGCACAGGCTCATTGGACGACGATGCTCCATCAACGCTCGGGGCAGTCTCTGTTCCTTGCGCACCAACATCGGCCTTAAGAGCAAGGAGACAGCAGCGTCCTCGCTTCGCCATTTTGGCTCCTCAGGCCACACGTTCAACACTACTGTACGGGGAAGATCTAAGAAGATTGCAATTTTCGCATCCACCTGAGTCAGAGCCGCGGGAATCAAGCATGCGCATTCAGGAATGGTCAAACATGCTACTGTCGCGAACTGAGTGGCGGCATTGGTGTAGTATAAGGGTAATTTGCGTGAACATGCTGGGCCTGATTTCGAGCTGGTTCTCGCAAGCTGCGAGGCGTCATCCCGGCAGAGCTGCTGCACATGAGTTCTTTTCTGGTGCTTGGTCTTGCTCGAGTCTTGATGTCTTACGAGACATGCAAGTCGTTCCGATTCCTGGTCTGCACATGCTCATTGAGTTTTCAGGCGTCGGAGAGGTCGGGCTCCGTTTCGAAAATGTCTGTGTGCGAAGTCTCGCTCAGCTGCGACTCGGCATCTGAAGTGTCGAAGACCACAGGAGGTTGCTCGTGGGACACGATGTTTTGCTGCTCCGTGAGGCCCAGCTGCCAGCGAAGCACCGTTTCCACACTGCCCAAAGAGATTCGATTTTGCTTGGGTTCTTTGAGCTCCAAGATGAAGTCGCCGGACAAGGCGTATCGTACTGACAGCTTTTTGCAGGGGCCGTCCTGGATCATTTCGAAGCACACGTGCACGTCCGGCCGTATCTTGCGAATGGCCAGATGGAAGCAATGTCCAGAATAGTAGACCCACACGCGCTCGCCATCCACCACCCAAGTTCTGAAGTGCCACCAGAGGTGCGGGCCGAAGGGGCAAGAAAGGTAAATGGGCTCTTGGCATTGCATTTTCAAAGCTTGTAGTGCATCTGCTTGCACCAAGGACCACCGGCAGGGAGGGGGCTGATCCCAGCGCTCTGCATCGCGAACGTTCGATTCGATGCGGCAGCACTCCATGTTGAAGGGCAGGGAGCGCCCGTTCAGACGGTGATGGGTCAGCTATGGGGCTATTGGAAGCGGGGGGATGCCTGCTTCTCAGAAGACTGTTTTACGCAGTTGCCTGCTTGAGCCTCGGAAGCTGCGATAAACGTCGGGTGCTCCCGGCTTTGTTCGTTATGTAAGCTTGGCAGCCGACGTCTGCACGGTACTGGTCGTTTCATGTCGTTTCCACAAATATGGATTAATTCCGTGTATTCCGCTCTTGGCAAATCTAGATGGGTGAGACTGTGTAGGCAGGCGTTGCTGCAGCCGGCTCGCTGTGTCCCTTATGCGCTTGCATGCCGCGGCGTCCACGAACGGGGCTTGCGCTGGTTTCGATGGGATCCTGAAGCATGCATGCAAGGCAACGGTGAAACCTTGCAAGAAAAAGCACTGCAGCATGCGAGATCGAATTTTTTCGTGTGTGTATATATATACATATATATATATACAAAGTCATGCTACACCTTCGAATTAGTGTCTGGCCGAGCTAGGCTTTGATCGGCTCTCGACGGTGCGCACTGCCAGGAAGAAGGCTTGAAGCCAATCGTAATCAGTCATGTTGCTCTTGGCTGCTGCCTGGTGTAGCCATGGGCGTTGCTGTAGTACATCTTCGCAGCGCTGGAGGATGAAGCTGCGCGCTGCGGTTCTGTCACTTTGCTGTGCGAGTCGGAGTAGAGTTCGAACTACGAGCAGCTGACCTTCCCATGCGCGTTTGCTGACGGCCTCGTTTCTGGCAGCTGCTGGATCGTCGGGTGCATGTCGAATCGCGTGGAATGCGCATCGATCAAGGGACGAAAGGATTTCTGGCGATGGCGTCTCCGTGCCTCGCGTGGATTTGCATGTCCTTAATGTCTTGCCTTCATTCGAGTCACATCAACGATGATGCGCTGGCTGTCAGAAAAGGCTTCCACGTACAAGGATCGTGCTCAAAAGGCTTCATTGTCCGGGAGGTCGTCGATCAAGTAGTGATCCTCATATTGGGATTCGTCGGCGTATGCCAGTGGAACATCCTTCCGTGACTGGGTGCGATGAAGTCTTTGGAGCGACTGGAGCAGCCTGCACGCCCGGCGAATCTTAAGTTGGCAAAGCATCGGACTTGCATTGCCAGCTTGCGCGTTCGGCAGCAAGACATGTGCTGAGGGAGAACGCGCCAGCACAGCTCCATGTTGGTGCTGTACTTGCCGAACTTGATCGAGCCGCATGTCGCCGCTCAATTCCCTGTCGAGTCTTTCCCACGTTCATCGGCCATGACATGGCGCGCAGGCCAAGGGAATCGTCGGTTATGTGGGTCGGGCTCAAGCCCGGGACCTGGAATGTGACAGGCTTCGGTCATCTCCCCGGTCTGTCCTGGGTTCCTAGGTCAAAAGCATGGCGAGCCGCAGAGATAAGTATGTAGCTGATCTGGGGTTGGCTGTTTCGCGTGGTTTGCTGTTCTGTGTTGCGGCGTGCAAATTTCCTGTGCGCCTGGGGCGCACAGCATGTCTGACCAGCTATACGGGGCTGCCTGTGATCCGAAACGGCTCTGTCAGTTGAAGTTCCTCATGTGTCAACTTGAATGGTATCCACAATCTTCTTGGACAGCCAGCATGTAACTATTGTGGTGTAGCGCACGAACTCGCTGCTTACGCCTATGGGGTCTGCAAGGTCCCTGTCGCACGCGCTCTTGTTGTATGTGCTCTAGCGTGAAAGCGGCACCATGTCCGCCGGCCAGGATTAGGCTCTCGTTTCTTTACGTGAGGCTGCACGCAAGATGGGTGCACTTCGCACCGTGTCGGTGCACTGTACATGCCGTGTTTCTGTAGCACGACTGATTAGCATCTTCAGCGTGGGGATTGGAATGCGGGCATACGGTATTGCGCCTCCGGATTCTGTTGGTCTCCGTGGGGTCTTTTTCCCTCCCGTGGTCACTTCTGCATCGCCTCGTCTTGCATCAGATTCAGGAGTGCGCCGTCGAGTTTCTGAGCTGCAATGCTGAGAGGGCTTCTGCCGAATTGGTCTCTGTGCTGTTTGTCGGCTTTGGCTTGCAACAGCGCCTGAACGACCTGCAAATCTGGCGGCTTTCTGTAAAGCAAAGCGAGTCTGAGAGCGGTGCGGCCAAAGCTGTCCTCTCGGTTTACTTCTCCGGCAGCTTTCAAGATTGAGCACACCACTGTTTCGGGAGCTCCGTGTGCTGCAGCTTGCAACAAGGCCGTCTGTCCGTCCAGTCTTGTATTCGGATCCGCTCTGGCTCGGAGCAGCATTGCGACTATTCCGCAGTGACCTCTGCCCGCAGCCAGGGCGAGGGCTGTGCGGCGAGCATGGACGCTGAAGAGGAGTTGATGAGCTCCCTTCAGCACGAGGTGGCAGATGTGCGAGTCCACTGCGGCTTGCGCGTTCAGAAGCCAGAGTACGGCGTGCTCGTTGCCTCCGTAGGCTGCGCTGCAGAGGCATGCGGGCAGGATGCAAACATTCGCGTTTTCGGCAGTCTGGACGAGTTGCTGCATGAACGTCGGGTTTGCGTGCATCACTGCAGCACGCACCAAGGATACGGTGCTGGCGAGCGTGCGAGGATGTATGTAATCTAGATAATCCCTTGGGGTTGGTTGCATGGCCCAGCTGTTGGCATCCCGAAGCATGGGCTGTACGTCTGCTTTTGCTGACAGCAACATGGCTACTGTCTTGGGCGCTTCACGCTGAAATGACCCTTGCTCGGGACGACGCTGGCATGCTATGTCTATGGGCATTATTCGGTTCTTGGAACCGTTCGGGTCGGCCCGATGCTTTAGCAGCAGTCGCACGCATTCGTCTTCTCCGTGCTTCAGTGCCGTGCAGAGCATCCCTTGGTTTTCGGGCCGGTCAGGAGCTGCTTTGGCTTCTAGCAGCGTCAACAGAACCGTTTTCGTGCGTGGTCCCTGGTTCAGCAACGCAAACTCCAATGCTGTGATAGGACGCGGGAGGTATCGGGGAAAGGTTGTGTTTGGATCAACCGGTCGCCAAAGCAATTTCTTCAATTTTGCCGTGTCTTGCTCGTAGAGAGCTTCTCGGAGGTTTCGGGAGACTTGGCTATTGCTGTTGGTCCGCACGTAGGGCAGGAGGACTACCTGCAAATCCTCCGCGGAAGAGAAGCGCCGAACGCCATTCTTTCGAAGCCTCTGCCCGTCTTGAAGTAGCCTGATCCTGTACTTGGAAACGCCGCAAACGGGCTCTAAGTACGTAAGCAGGTCCATCGGCGTTCTATGTCGATGTGTGTTTGTTTTAGCTACGACTTCCCCGCTCAACTTGCAGATACGAAGCTGCTGTGGACCGGAGGCCTTCCGCTGCGTTCGTCGAGCGAATTTGCCCGGCCTGCGTAGCGGGGCTTGCTTTGCGGCGGGGAAGATGCCATCCATGGCTTCGAGTGCCGAAGGAACAAAACTCTGAGGGTGCTGAATCTGCTCGGCTAGCCGTTTCGCTGCTGCTGCTTGCACTAGAGCAGTATTGTGTGACGTCATGGACATGTTTCGGCTTGAAAAGCAGCATGGCGTCATTTGCAAGGTTTGCATCTGTTGCTTGCTCGGAATGCTATCAGCCATGCCTCGCTGCGGACGCAGCTGCGAATTTTGCGTTGCTGCTGTGGCTGCCGGGTGCGCGCCAAGCATGTTTTGTCTTTTGCCGCGATCTGTCCGTGTCGGAATGGCTCAGCGTGAAACTTCTCTCGAACGAGCGGGCCTTGCTCGGGCTGTGCCTGCCTCTGCGCCGGTCGGTGGAAGTTTGCCGTCGCGACTCGATCGCTGTTTCTTGTGAGGACGCGCAGTGTCCACGGCCCGTGGTTTCTGTCGCACTTGCTTTGCGAAACGACCTGGGGTCCAGCTGCTTTTCGTACTTTTTCGTCTTCGGTGTCGTGCCTTGCCCAGGAGCAGATTCTGCGCCCAGCGATGTTTGGTGGCCTGGTCGATGTCGTACAGGAACATCGCACGCAGGAGGTGTTTCCCTAATTCGGCTTTGGCGTGCAGCAGCAGCTGTGCGGTGTCGGGCTTGTTTTGCATGCATGCTTGGATCAGAGGTGGCTCCGCAAGGAAGCTGCGAAAGTTCGGGTTTGCTCGAGCCGTCAGCAAGCGCGCGACTACCGCATTGTTTCCTTGAAATGTTGCAGCGCACAGGGCGCTCCCTCCTTCCCCTTCGGCGCCGTCTGCGTCCGGGTCGGCTCTGTGGAGCAGGAGCAACTCTGGCGCCCCGGGCAACCCTCATGGAAAAAACAAGGGGCTCCGGCCCATTCCTCTAATGCGTTCGTTGACGCGAACCTCGCCCGCGTTCGTTCGGGCAGAGGAATGAACGGGTGGGCGTGGCCGGACGGATGGATATGGACGCACGGAGGGAGACGGACGGACGGACCGCGATAAGAAAACAAAAACGACAATTCCAGAAACAGATTTGTTTTTGTGATTTCGTTCAATTACAAGGCAAACGCAATACCCAAATCACCAAAAGCCCAAAGTCGAGACCGCAAACGCCAAATTGAAAGCCGCCAAACGCTTGATTGAACGCGTGAACAGACGGATAGATGAACGGACAATCACAGGAACGGCCGGAAGGGACGGACGTACGGACACACACGGACAAACGGACGCGGACGGACGGACACGGGCGGACGGACAGGGACGGACGGACATGGGCCGACGGACGGACGGACGGACGGACCACGGACGGACGGACGGACGGACAGGGACAGACGGAGGACGCGGACGGACGGGCGGACGGACAAGGACGGAACGGAGGGAAGGGAGCGAACGGAAGGGACGGGGAGGGGACGGAAGGGGACGGACGGACGGGGACGGACGCACGGACGGACGGATGGACGGGGACGGACGGACGTACGGACGGACGGGACGGACGGAAGGACAGACGGACGGACGGGGTTTAGAATTCCAAAAACGACAATTGCCGAACCAAATTTGTTTCGGCGACGCGTGAAAACACAGAAATGAAGATTTAAAAATCGATTTTGTTTTGGCGGGGGCGTGAGTGTTCGCGAGCGCGTGATGAGAAAGAGCGAGTGAACATGAGAGAGTGAGAATCAGCGAGTGAAAAGGAGTGAAGAAGAATGGTTGAATGAAAGTGAGTGAGTGAGATAAACGATTACAAAACCTAAAACCCAAGTTGAGGAATGGTAAAAAAATAGTAGGGACTTTTCTTTGTTTACAAGACAAGTTTTCTTATCAAATAATTGGTTAATAGGTTTTCTTTTTGTTTGTGTTTCGGTAGTAGAAGTATGAATTTTAGAGTAGCTAACGTCCACACGGGGCTACTTGCAAGACTACATAGGTTTAAAAGTTCGAGTATATTCCAAACATAGAACAATTGATATCATTCCAATGATCTGTTCAATAAAATGATAAGGATGCTACGACAGAGAGTTTAGTTTCCGCCGAGGCCGGGGGCGTAAGCCACCGGCCGAGGCGGAATGGCGCAAGACTACACAGGTTCGAAAGTTTAAGTACACTTTCAAACATGCACCCTATGCGATGATGTTTATAATTTTATGTAGCATATATTGATATCATTAATATTTGTATCTCTACTTCTGTCTATATGTATGTATGCATAGCTGTATATACATATGTATGAATATAAGCCAAAATCATAGATAAATTATCTAGATTAGTATATGCTTATGGCTGCATGTATTTCGTAGTTTATTTTTAGAGCACAGGTAACTGTATGTATATGTAGTTGTACCAATGCTCAAATTTTGTGGATGTATCTAGACCCATAAACATGTTTCTATTTGTCTCTGTATACAAACAGCTGCCTACATAAATATAAATATATATATATATATATGAATATCTGTATATGTGTATATCTATGTATGTATCTACATGTCTTTATTTTTTGTATCTGTGTATGTTCTGGCTATAGATTCATATGTGAACTTTTCATGTATATATATATGCGCATATATATATATATATGTATGTATGTATGTAGATAAGCCCGTATGTCTGTATAAAACCCTAGGTATCTGCCTATCGTTCCTTTTACATGTCTCTGTATATATATATATATATGTATATGTAAATATGATATATTTTCTTCACCTCTGTAATACTTTGCAAATGACGAGTCATATTGAAGATGTAGTTTTGGGACAACACGGATCGAAAGCTAAAGCAAGCTTAAATCCGCACCAGTTCTTCTCGAGATCATAACAGGAACCGGGTTTTAGTGAATTAAAGTAATCAGCTTTGGGGGGCCACGTTGAAGTCAATTGCGGCCATATCTAGGCATTTCTCATCTGTTTGTACCTATATTCGCACGTCTGAGCATCGGAACCTCGTTCTCTCTGCTTATGCGTGCATGCAGTTCCTCAAATGCGGTGAACTTCGTAGCTAACTTTACATAATTGCATGACTATATCTACATCTATGTCTGTTTCAATATCTGCTCCCATATCTATATCTTCATGGTTTTATCCATTTGAATTAGTTCATGCCTGTATGTCTTCATCTTCACTTAGATCTATATCTGCATACAGGTCTATGTCTACGTCTATATCTATATCTGTGCCTGTCTTACCTATATCTATACCTTTGTCTATACTTATATCTTTATCCGCACTATATCTTAACTATATCTTTATTCTATTTGCATCGATATCTATACTAGTATCTGCATCTATATCTCTGTGTGTGTCAATACTAATGTCAATATCTGTATCTATTCCTATCTATATATATATACCTATACCTATATCTATACGTATATCTATACCTATACCTATATCTATACCTACATCTATACTTATACCTGTACCTATATCTGTACCTATATCTATACATATATCTATACCTATATTTGAACCTACATCTATACGTATATCTATACGTATATTTAAAGCTATATTTATACCTATATCTATCCCCAAATCCATATCTATATTGCTACATATATGTATATATGTACATAACGACAAACACATGTTGATAATAATGATTTCTATACTATACATGTGAATCTGGTTCAGTATATATGCACAGATAGCCATGTACTATATATGCTATTCGAATTTATTTGCAGATATTTCTAACAATTCATGCTCGTATGTTATGTTTATATCTATGTCAATATCTATATCTGAATCTGTATATATGTATATATCTTCATCTGTATCTATATCTTGATTTATATTTAGGTCTTTGTTTGTAATTATATATATATATATATATAGCAAATATCTCTGCTTTATATACATACATACTACATATACACACATTTCTGTCTTTTATACCTAGATCTATGCTGTGTGGATCTCTATATTTAAAGATATGTTCTATTTTTCTGCATATACATATATGTATATATGTCACATATGAATATATATATATATATGTGTATGAATATATCTGAATGTATTTTTCGTTTCAATACATATATGCAGCTATACACATGTATGATTTATATTCGTGTCTGTATCAGTATATCTCTGCGTTTTCCAGCTTGTTCATTGTAGCTATATCGAAATCTTTTCATATATTGTGCATCTATAAATTTACCGATATACGTACGTACTTGAAACCTAGAACAAAATGTAAACCTTCTCCTATACCTATAATATGTTGCCATTGAAGACACGGGGCGAATGGGTCTGGAGCCAATCGCACAAAACCGGGCAGTCATTGCACGCAGAGGTTTAAGACAGTTGAAATATCGGAAAGCTCTTCAGTTCAATTAACTTAAACCTCTGCGGGGCTTGTATTTCCTTTCACTTGAAACCTTCCCGCGGGCTCTTCAACCTTCACTTTACTTAAATCTTTCCGGGTGCTTTTCACTTCAATGTATTCACACCTCTCCGGAGGTAAAGAGGGTGGTTGCGTAAATTGACATATGTAGTAAAAGACGGGAATTAGTAAATTGATATAAGGAGCCAGAGACGGGGTTCAAGTATATTTACATATGAAGTCAAAGACGGGGTTTAAGTACAATATTATAGGTAGCCATAACGGGCTTTAAGTAGACTGACATATGAAGCGGCGAAGCAAGAGACCGTGTTTAAGTAAATTGACATGTGAAGCCAGGCGTTTGAGTAAATTTACATACATAGCCCCAAGCGGGGTTTAACTAAATCGATATATTTCGCCCCAAACGGAGTTTAAGTAAATTGACATGCATAGGGCCAGACGGGTTTAAGTAAAGTCACATACATAGGCGCAATCACCGTTATAGTGAATTCTTACACACAGGCCCAGACGGGGTTTAAGACATGCACAGCCCCAAACCGGATTGAAATAGACTGGCATATATATAGGCCAAGACATACATGGCTCCGAGCGAAGTTTCTACAGATTGACATATATAGCCTCAGGCAAGGTGAAATTGAATGGACCTATATAACCGCAAGCGGGGTTTAAAT